TGGCTTGCCAGGCTCTGCCATGCGGGCGAGATACTCTCGGTAGCTTGCCGGGCTCTCAGATAGAAAAGGGAGCACCAAATAAAGGGTGTTGGGAGGATCCTCCCAGGATGGGAGAAGCATGCTGAAAGTAGACTATAGACCAAACATGATTGCCACTCAATGCCTCTTTTGCAAACCACAGCACCCAAAAGGAGAGAGAGAACAAAAGGGAGTGTCCTGCCACAGAGGCCGGGTGGGATGGGGGGATGGGGGTGGGTGGGAGGAATACTGGGATCAGTGGTGGTCGAAAATGGGCACTGGTGGAGGGATGCGTGTTTCTTCATTGTACAATTGAATCGCAAGCACAAAATTTGTAAGTCTACATCTGTACCTCATGGTGTTTCACTAACAACATTTTTTTAAAAATGTAAATGATGGAGAATGGGCACTGGTGGAGGGATGGGTACTGGATCATTGTATAACTGAAACCCAAGATCAAAAATTTGTAAGTCTACAACTGTACCTCACGGTGTTTCACTAATAAAAATTAAAAAATAAATAAATAAAAATAAATGCAGGGTCTGTGTAGGGAAGTCCAGAGAGACTAAGCGAATTGTGGGAACACCAGGACAGGGACTGGGGGACAGGATGGGGTGCAGAGAGTGACTGTTCAATGGTTACAAGGCTCCTGTGGGGGAGGAGAATGTTCTGGCGCTTGTCCAGGCAGAGGAAGTACGTACTGTGGGCATTCTGAGTGACACTGATTAAACTGTAAACCTTTCCTTTCATACCACATGATTTCACCCCATTTAAACAATCGCAGGGGATAGAGTGATAGCACAGCAGGTAGGGCATTTGCCTTGCCTGCAGCCGGCCTGGGTTCGATCACCCGCATCCCATATGGTGCCCCGAGCACCACTAGGAATAATTCCTGAGTGCAGAGCCAGGAGTAACCCTTGAGCATCACCTGCTATGACCCAAAAAGAGCAAAAAAAATAAAATTGAAGGGGAGGCCAACATTCAGAGATTGGGAAAGACAAGCAGATTGAGTTGTGTGGGTTCTTAGGGTCTGGACAAGAGTGTTTGGGTGACACAAGGAACATAGAGTGAATTCCTGAATGGCCACATGGGGGCAGAAAAGGCTTCTATGCTTCTCCCAGGCTTTTATGGATCTATTGTTTTTCTTTTTCTTTTTCTTTTTTTTTTCCAGATTTTTGGGTCACACCTGGCGATGCTCAGGGGTTACTCATGGCCCTGCACTCAGGAATTACTCCTGGCAGTGCTCAGGGGACCATATAGAATGCATGGAGTCGAACCCGGGTCGGCCACGTGCAAGGCAAATGCCCTCCCCGATGTGCTATCGCTCTAGGCCCACTATTATTTCTTGAGGTTGAGGGCCACACCCAGTGGTGCCCTGGGGCCCTGCAGGGCTAGGTCCCTGCTCAGAGTTGGCATGTGCCAGTATGAATTGTCCCCTTGTGCCGTCCCCAACCCCCTTGGCTCTTTTCCTTCTCCCCCAGAGTCCAGGCCTGGGCAGGAACTCGGCCTCAAAGATCCTGGTTCTCTTCAGTTCAATTTTGTGATTGTATTAGTGTGTGGGTGTGGATGGAGTGATTTTACTATGTAAACATGGCTAACCCACTCCAGGTATATGTAATCAATTTGTATTGTATAAAGGAAAAAATTGTATAAGGCCAGAGAAATAGTATATATAAGTGTGTATATATATATATATATATATATATATATATATATATATAAAACCAACCTGGGCTTGGTCCCCAGTATCCCAGATGGTCTCCTGAGCACTGCCAAGAGTGATTCCCTTGAGTGCAGAGCCAGGACTAACTCCTGAACTCCTTAGCATCACCGGGTGTGACCCCCAAACAGACAAACCAATCATACATTAAAATGTGTTTACGTTTTGCCTTGTCTTGGTGTTTGGGCCATACCTGGCAGTGCTTAGGGCTAATTCCGGTTCTGTGCTCAGGGACCACTCCTGGCAGGCTCGGGACCACACGTGGTGCCAGGTACCAGGCATCTAACCCGGGTTGGCTGTGTACAAGGCAAACACCTTACCCACTGGACTATCACTCCGGAACCTGATGCTCAAACCCGGGCCTGCTAAGTATAAGACAAGCACCTTACCTGCTGGACTCTCTCCAGCTCTTCTGCTTCCTTTTCACAGCAGCTCTGGTTCCCACTGCTGGTGTACTTGTCTCTGCTCCTTCCTGGTCTTTCACTGTCTCAGTGGGAGTGTCCTGCCACAGAGGCAGGGTGGGATCGGGGGGATGGGGGTCGGTGGGAGGAATACTGGGATCAGTGGTGGTGGAAAATGGGCACTGGTGGAGGGATGGGTGTTTGGTCATTGTACAATTGAAACCCAAGCACAAAAATTTGTAAGTCTACAACTGTACCTCACGGTGTTTCACTAATAAAAATTAAAAAATAAATAAATAAAAATAAATGCAGGGTCTTGTGCCGTCCCCAACCCCCTTGGCTCTTTTCCTTCTCCCCCAGAGTCCAGGCCTGGGCAGGAACTCGGCCTCAAAGATCCTGGTTCTCTTCTGTTCAATTTTGTGATTGTATTAGTGTGTGGGTGTGGATGGAGTGATTTTACTATGTAAACATGGCTTGTTGGGGTCGGGAGTTCCCTAGCCCTGGGAGGCACAGAGAGACCAGACAAACAACGTTCCTGCAGGAATTCAAGCGGGGTTTTATTCGGACCAGCATGCTGGGGCTCCACAGCGTACCCAAGAACGGGCAGAGGTTGGGAGCCTCGAACTCAGAAACAGGTCATCTTTTATACAGTTTGAGAACAAAGACCACATATTGCCAATACGTGTTATTTTGCACATATTTTGCCAAGTCGTGTTTTGCTGGGTTCCTTGAGGTTTTTCTTGGAGTATCTGACCCAAACTTCTTGACCTGGTCACATAGTTTCAGTTTCCAGGATGGTCAAAACACTCTATCTATCTTTAAATAGTTATGTCTTATTCTAGCCCATACCTTACACATCTACTGGGTTCAATCCAATTTTGTAACCTCAAGGCTGCTGAACTGTTTACAGAAAGCAATTTTGCAAGTTAATTAACTCCTTCCTAGCCTTCCTAGCTCCTTTCAGGCTAACCCACTCCAGGTATATGTAATCAATTTGTATTTTATAGAGGTATAAAATTGTATAAGGCCAGAAAGATAGTATAGCAGGGAGGGCATTTGCCTTATAGTCGGCCAACCTGGGTTTGGTCCCCAGTATCCCAGATGGTCTCCTGAGCACCGCCAAGAGTGATTCCCTTGAGTGCAGAGCCAGGACTAACTCCTGAGCATCACCGGGTGTGACCCCCAAACAGACAAACCAATCATACATTAAAATGTGTTTATGTTTTGCCTTGTCTTGGTATTTGGGCCACACCTGGCAGTGCTTAAGGCTTACTCCGGTTCTGCCTTCAGGGACCACTCCTGGCAGGCTCGGGACCATACGTGCGTGGTGCCAGGGATCTAATCCGGGATGGCTGTGTACAAGGCAAACACCTTACCCACTGGACTATCACTCTGGCTCCTGATGCTCAAACCCGGGCCTGCTAAGTATAAGACAAGCACCTTACCTGCTGGACTCTCTCCAGCTCTGATGCTTCCTTTTCACAGCAGCTCTGGTTCCCACTGCTGGTGTACTTGTCTCTGCTCCTTCCCGGTCTTTCACTGTCTCAGTGGGAGACGCTCCACCTTGCCTTGTGGCAGGAGACAAGTGGTTCTGTTCTGCTACGTCGCGTGCAGCCTGACTTTAGTGGACAAGGCTGCATGTCAGGCAACTGAACCCAGGTGTTGTATATGCACACATGTGCTTTACCACGAAGCAGTATTCTGACTCCCATAAGGAGCTTCTTGTTCAACAAATAACCACTCTCCAACCCTCCCAACCAACACATGACCAAGGGAAAAAGTAAGTAGATCAACGGCAGATGCAGAGTCTGGCAAACTCCCCGTGGCGTACCCAATATGCCAAATACCAGTAACAATGATGAGTCTCATTCTCCTCACCCTGAAAGAGCCTTGAATATGGCACTTTTTAAAATATCTCTGGGCTAGGACGAAGGAGACGTTACTGGGGCCTGCTCGAGGCAATCGACGGAACAACAGGATGGTCATGACAAGTAGATCAAATTCTTTAATCTTGGTTTTGGGGCCACACCCAGCAGTGCTTAGGGCTTATTCCTAGTTCTGTGCTCAGGAATTTCTTCTAATGGTGCCTGGGGGATACCGGGGATCAAACCCTGGTAGGCTGTGTACAAGGCAAATGCCCTACCCATTGTACTATCTCTCCGGCCCCCCAGATCAAAAACTCTTGGATTCTGCTGTGAACTCCCGGTGTACCACGTAAAATTCAATGACCTGGTTTTAAACAACAGGTTTGGGGAAAGGAGAGATATTATAGGGTATTGAGACATTTGCCTTGCATACACCAAGCCTGGTTCAAAGCCAATACTTAATATTCCCCGATTACGACTGAAGAGTGACCACTGAGCACTGACCCAGACGAGCACAGACTATCAGACTTGGGCCCCAACAAACAAAAATAAAATTGTGGATATGCACTTTCTACTCTTGCCGTGATCTTTTGCAGACAGGTCAATTCTAATGCAAGGCAGAACTGCCTCCCCAGAACACACATCTGTGTGCACCCCCTTTTCTTGCCCCCCCCCCATATCCTCCACACTAGAGTTGCACAAAGATACAACATGAAATTCACACACAAAGGGCGTGAAGACTCCAGGATTTTTAATGATGATTTGGGGTTCAGGTTCACTGGGCGAGTCTCTTCAGCCAGCAGCAGCTTCGGCTGAAGCTCATCCTTCCCGGCCACCCAGGTAAACCCCAACATACCCACCCAGAGGAAGGAAAAAAAACCGCCATCACCAGAAGCAGAGACAGAGTCAGTGAAATGAGATGAAACATGAAAACCGCCATCTCATGAGAAGAGTCAGGGGAGGAGGACACTGGAGCACGGAGACTCAGCTCACCGGCTACTGGAGGGCCTTGTGGGAGAGAAACACGGGCGTTGTGGACGGGACCCTTTCATCCAGGGTGAAGCAGCTGCCCTGGCCCTCCTGTTGGAGCCTCTCCATGTTCATCTCAAGGCTCCGGGAATCCTCCGCCTTCTTCCAGCCGAAGAGCCAGTAGCCGGCGCCGGCCCCCGCCACCACCGCCAGGCCCAGGTAGGCGTTGTAGGTCATGGCAATCAGCATCAGCAGGTAGCTCAGGACCACCTGGAACACGTGCAGCACCGTCTGCAGGAGGTGAGCGGCACTCAGCAGCTGCTGCTTGGGCGTCTCCTTGGGGCAGGTTCCGTCGGATCTCGAGAAAGAAGAGCACTGGGCGCGGAGCCTCTCCTGGGCCTTACGCAGAAGCGCCTCTCGGGCTGTCTTGAGTCCCTCATAGCCCAGGGCCAGCAGAAACACGACCACAAAAGCCACGGCCATGGCCGTAGCTGAGTCGATCAGCAGCCCCGAGAACAGCACCTCCACGTTCTTGTAGCCGAAGTAGAATGTCATGGGCATCGTGTGTGCGCTGCCGCCGCCGTGGCCGTGGGAGTGGGGCCCCATGGTGGCCGGTGGGTGGTGGTGGTGAGGGGGGGCCGGGGTGCTGGTGTGGTCCATGGCGCTCATCCCAGAGTTATGGTGCGAGGGGGCGCTGGTGTGGCCCATGGCGCTCATCCCGGAGTGATGGTGCGAGTGGTCCATGGTCCCAGCAAAAGTGAGTCCTTGGGCAGAAGAATCTGGAAGGAAGACAGAGTCCTGCACTGCAGCCGCTTCTCAGACTCTCAGGCAGACAGCAGCTAAGACAGCTCAGAGTCGTGCCTCTTATATCCTGAAAGGAGACCCTCCCTGACCCTCCCTGATCCGCCTGACCTGCCAGACCCGCCCTGACCCTCCCTCCAGCTTCTCCCTGCTGTACTCAATCTCTGCTCCTCCCTCTGAGACCCTCCCTCAGACTGGGTGGAATGTGGGGGGAAAGCCCACCCGAGTTCAATCCCTGGCATCCCCGAGCACTGCAAGAGTAATTCCTAAGAGGCCGGAGTGTTAGCACAGCAGGGAGGGCGTTTGCCTTGCATGCGGCCAACCCAGGTTCGATCCCCGGCATCCCATATGGTCCCCCGAACACCGCCAGGAGTAATTCCTGAGTGCAGAGCCAGGAGTAACCCCTGAGCATTGCTGGGTGTGACCCCAAAAAAAGCAAAAAAAAAGTGTAATTCCTAAGTGCAGGGCCAGAAGTAACCCCTGAGCATCGATGGGTGTGACCCAAAAAGAAAAAAAAATGTGTGGGGATTGCATGTTTAAGCCTCCGAGTTTGGTCTCTGGCCCCCGGCCCCTACCCCCAGCCCCGCAGGATAGCAGCTCTGGTGACCCTAACCCATGGACCTTGGGAATGAACGAAGAGCCAGTGTGAGAGTGGCCCGGTGTGACTGAGGACCCTCATCTTTCCGAGGCCTCCGGGTGCCCTCACCGACCCTCCATCCTTTCGAGGTGGCCAAGTGGCCTGACGGACCCTCCATCCTTCTGAGGAGGCCCACTCTCAACCAAAAAGCAACTGGGTAGTAGCTCAGAGGAGGCCTAGTGTGGAGGCCACCCAGGTTGATCCCTGGCCCTGCCGACAACAGCAAATGGGCAACTTGGACGTTTCCTAATCTTACGGTGGCAGCTACCCCACCGTGGGTGGGAAGCCCACACTAGAATGTGAGACCTTGGAAACTCATTATAATGTCATATCTCCATGATCTCTAGGAAAAGGGGGGAGGGAGGAAGTGTGGGATGCTGAAACCACATGGTAAGACTGTGACAGGGGAAGGGGGTGCTTGGGACATTCTGTCGGGTTGTTCTGGCATGGTTTGGATGTCGGGCCACACCTGGGGGCTCTCAGGGGCTGCCCCTGGCTTGGGGCGGGGGTCGATGTTGATCCTGGTGGCACATTGGGGCTGTGTTAGGCTGGGGACTGAAGGGGGTGGGGGGTTCCTACAGTCAAAGCCCACGCTCCAGCCCTTTGAGCCATCTCTAGCCCTTGGTGAGTTGTGAGACTCAAATCTGAGCATTTCGCTTGGAGGCACGGCTGGAAGGGAAGGCCCTGAAAACAAAGAAAAAGATTGGGGACCAGAGTACACTGCTAGGGTGCTTGCCCTTAACTCAGCCAACCCAGGTTGGATCCCGGGCACCGCAGATAGTCCCCCAAGCGCTGCTAGGAGTGATTCCCGGGATCTGCCAGATGTTCACCTCTCCAACCTCCCCCAAAGGAGAAAATGACAAAAATTTATTTATTTATTTATTCATATTTTGGGTCACAGCCAGCGATGCACAGGAGTTACTCCTGGCTCTGCACTCAGGAATTTCTCCTGGCGGTGCTCAGGGGACCATATGGGATGCTGGGAATCGAACCCAGGTTGGCTGCATGCAAGGAAAATGTCCTACCTGCTGTGCTATCTCTCCAGCCCCCCCCCCAAGACAAAAATTAAAAAAAAAAAAAAAAAACCTTGAGTAGGCCAGGAGCGGGCAGGGCACTTGCCTTGCACACGGCTGGCTGACCTGGGTTCAATTCCCAGTGTCCCGTATGATCCACCAAACCCCATCAGGAGTGACCCCTGAGTGCAGAGTCAGGAGGAGTAAGCCCTGAACACCACCGGCTGTGACCCAAACAACAGCATCAATGGAAAGTAAAAAGAAAAAAAAAATAGATCAGCCCCAGAGTGGTATCAGATCAAACTTGCTGTGGCTGGAATTTGTGTATAGATGGGACACACCCCCGCCAGGATGGAATCCGTGTCATTCGCATAGGAATCCGCACTGAGGTCCTGCGGGGAGCTAAGCTGAGGCACCTCCTTCCCCCCTACAAGCTGTCCTGCACGTGTTCAGTGGTGTGAGTCCTCTCCCCTGCCTGAGGCACCCCCTTTCACTAACAACCCCTCCTTTCGCTTCAGCCCTTCCCCATGTCTGTCTTCTTCGTCCATTGTTAGGAGCCATTAGGGACCCACCCTCACAGGAGCGGAAAGCCTGCTAGCCTGAGGGAGGCTCAGGTTTGATCTCTAAACCACAGGAGTGCTGAAGAGAGGAACCCCTGAGCACTGGGACAGGAATAGCACCTTGGAGTGTGCTTAACCCCTCACAAAAAAAGGAGATATTTCTTTTTCTGTTGATACTCAACAGCAGATACTTCGCTTTCTTGTCCATTTCTAGGTTCAGAAACATGTAGGGCAGTGATTTGGGAATGTAAAAGGAAAAAAAAATTTTTTTTTGCCTTTTGGGTCACACCCAGTGATGCACAGGGGTTACTCCTGGCTCTGCACTCAGGAATTACTCCTGGTGGTGCTCAGGGGACCATATGGGATGCTGGGAATCTAACCCAGGTCGGCTGTGTGCAAGGCAAATGCCCTACCCTATGTTCTATGGCTCCAGCCCCATGAATGGATAATCTTAACCCCCAAGGAAGTTATCTGGATCCTGAAGGCAAATTCTTGTACAAAAAGTTTAAAAAATCATGCCCAGACCCAGATTCACCTGACAAGACACAAAAAGTGGTATGCTCAGGGCCAGACAGAAAGAATAAAGGGTAAGATGCTTGCTTTACACACAAAATATCTGAATTTGACCCCCAGCATCCCATATGGTCCCCCAAATCTCATCAGGAGTGGCCCTTGAGCACAGAGTCAGGAGTAAGCCCTAAGCACCACAGGTTATGGCCTAAAACAAACAAATGAACAAACAAAAGGAAGAAAGGAAGAAGGGAAAGAGGGAAGGAGGGAAGGAAGGAAGAAAGGAAGAAGGGAAAGAGGGAAGGAGGGAAGGAAGGAAGAAAGGAAGGATGAAAGGAAGGAAGGGAGGGAGGGAGGGAGGGAGGAAGGAAGGAAGGAAGGAAGGAAGGAAGGGAGGGAGGGAGGGAGAGAGGAAGGAAGGAAGAGAGGGAAGAAGGAAGGAAGGAAGAGAGGGAGGAAGTAACGAAGGGAGGAAGGGAGGAAGGGAGGAAGGAAGGATGGAAGGAAGGAAGGAAGGAAGGAAGGAAGGAAGGAAGGAAGGAAGGAAGGTTGGTCTTCAAATCAAAAGTGAAATAAGAGGCTGGAACAATACTACAGCGGGTAGGGCCTTGCACACAGCTGACCTGGGTTCGATTCCCAGCATCCCATATGGTTCCCCTAGCACCACCAAGAGTAAGTCCTACATGCGGAGCCAGGAGTAACCCCTGAGAATCTTGCCAGGTGTGACCCAAAAAGCAAAAAAAAAAAAAGAAGGTGCTGGAGTGATAGTATAGTGGGTAGGGCACTTGCCTAGTACAAGTCTGACTGGCTTCATTCTGCAGCACCCAACAGAGTCCTCTGAGCCCACCAGGAATGTTCTCTTAGTGCAGAACCAGGAGAAAGACCTGAGCACTGCCTGGTGTGCCTCACCCCTGACACCTCCCCCCTCCAAAAAAAAAAAAAAAAGAACAAAAACAAAATCTATGTACTGCATTATGACATAACCATTCATCAGAAACTGTTTCACATCTTGGTTTTTTATTTTTTTCCTGTTTGTATTTTGTTTCTGAGCCACATTTAGCAGTGCTCATGAGTGACATTGGCAGTGTTTGAGGAACCGTGAAAGGTGCCGGGGATTCAAACCAGGGCTGGTTGGAAGCAAGGCAAGGACTTTAACCCCTATATTATCTCTCCGACCTTATGGTCACTAGTTTTTTTTTTTTTTTTATGGTCATTATTGTCTTCAGATAAATACTTGTTAGAAAATGGAATTTGACATTTTCACAATTCCTGGAGATCAAGACCTCAGGCTTAAGGGAATTCTCTGTGGTTGTAAAACCTCAAATCTCCAGGTCACTTGTTTGAGCTATGAAGGTGAGAGAGCAGAGGGAAACTTGTAGAATTACAAGGAGAAAGCGCTTGACAAGAAGAACGTGCTGGTCTCCACTCCTTCCATAGAAACTCTCGCAGAGGGAAGTAGGCACAACACCCATGGTGCTCAGGGGTGATTCCTGGCTCTGTGGTTGGGAGTCCTGGTGGCACTCAGGGGATGGAACCTGGGTGGATGAGTCACATGAAAGGCAAGTACTTCAGAAAAGTGAATGGACTATGTGTTAATCCACACCATCATGCCTGCCCGGAGGGGACAGGGTGTTGCTCCCTTCTGTCCTTCTCCCTCTGGAAAGAAAGATGGCAGCCGCTTCAGAGCTTTGTGAAAAGTCAGGTCTGAGCCGGTCGTGGTCGGGTGACTGAAACCTCATGGGAAGGGGGGTGTTCCAGGCTCGTCCTTCACGCCCTACCGAGGTCACGAGTTGCCCCCCACGAGCAGCTCTCTGGCACGGCCATGGATGGCTCCAGAGAACAGAAACCAATCTCATAATTATCTGACTCTCAGCAGAAATACTTCCAGGCTTAATAAGTAAAATACCAGAAATCCATCCTTTGATTCTTGTAACCAGCTGTAGAAAACAAATTATGTCACAATGCCTTTTCAGCATGTCTGATTTGGGGGTGTAAACTCTAAATAATAATGGTGCATCTTTTGTTGAAACAGTGAATCTAATCAAAGTAGATAGAGTGTTAACTAGAATTCATCTGCCTCACAGGCATTGGGAGGGTTGGGAAGGGGGGGGGTGTTTATTGGGGTTCTTGGTGGTGAAAAAAAAGTATTGGTGAAGGGAAATGTGTTTGATGATTGCATGACTGAGACTTAAACCTGAAAGCTTTGTAACTTTTCCCACAGTG